GTTGTGGTGGGCGCCTGTAGTCCCAGCTACTTGGGAGGCTGAGGCAGGAGACTCGTTTGAGCCCAGGAGTTGGAGGTTGCTGTGAGCTGTGATACCATGGTACTCTACCCAGGGGGATAGCTTGAGGCTCCGTCTAAAAAAAAAAAAACAAAAACAAAACAAGTCAGCCTTACAAATTTGTTTTCAGGCCACAAAACACATCAGAAAAGAAAAGAAAAAGAAGGAAAGTAACACTCTCTTCCTACTCTCTGCTATTTTATTTTTAACAAAAAGACAAGGCTTCACTTTGTTGCCTAGGTTAGAATACAGGGGTGTCATCACAACTCACTGCAACCTCAAACTTCTAGACTCAAGTGATCCTCCTGCCTCAGCCTCCTGGGTACCTGGGAATACAGATGTATTAGCACACCCCTGGCTAATTTTTCTATTTCTTGTAGAGATGCGGTCTTGCTATGTTGCTCTGGCTTGTTAAGCAACCCTCTCGTCTCAGCCTCTCAAAGTGCTAGGATTACAGGTATAAGTGCTATTCCCATCCATGTTTGCCATTTTAAAGACATTTAGTAGTTGTTTCGAAGCAACATAGTAGACAAAAATACATGCAATTAAAGATACCAGGGATATATCTGTTTCATCTCATTTAGAAATTTATGTAATTCTAGCACTCTGGGAAGCCAAGGTGGGTGGATTGCTTGAGCTCAGGAGTTCAAGGCCAGTATGAGCAAGACTGAGATCCCCATCTCTATTAAAAAAGAAAAACTAGCTGTGCATAGTGGCACATACTTGTAGTCACAGCTTCTGGGGAGACTGAGGCAAGAGGATTGATTTCTCAAGCCCAAGAATTTAAGGTTGCTGTGAGCTATGATGCCATAGCACTCTACTAAGGGAAACAGAGTGAGGCTCTGTCTCAAAAAAAGAAAAAGAAAAGAAAAGAAAAGAAAAAAAGGAAAGGAATTTAGGTACTCTCCAGAGATAACTCACAAATTTCAAAGATGACAAATATCATAGTCTCATATAATCTCTATACCTTAGGATAATAGAAACTGATAAACAAAACAAATTAACATACACACCCCCAAACTCTTGGACTTGAGCAATCAATCTTCTTGCTTCTTCAAGCTAAAATAAACTATTTTAGAATGAAGGCACTTGCCATTGACTAGAGACAAGAAAGAATATAGCTAATTAGTACTAATTCCTCTACTGACGTCTGTCTGCCTTTCTAGGTTTTGTTCTCCATACTCCATCTCTTCTGTGTTAAGAATATAAGAGAAATGATTCCCTAATGCATTTGATGAGATATCAGTAATTAAAACTGGCTACCTACTTCATTTGAACCAAAACTTGAAACTTAAAGGAGGAATAATATAAACGTAAATCATTTAGAAGAATTAACTCTTTCCCTTTTTCTTTTTACATATACATAAAACCTCAGAGCCTCTCTGAAAGTACTTTCACCTGAACTTTTTTTTTTTTTGAGACAGACTCTCATTGATGCCCTTGGTAGAATCCTGTGGCATCATAGCTCACAGCAACCTCAAACTCTTGGGTTTGAGCAATCCTCTTGCCTTAGCCTCCTGAGTAGCGGGGACTACAGAGTTAGGGTTAACTGGGACCACAGATGCCCACCACAACACCCACTTACTTTTTCTATTTTTAGTAGAGACAGGGTCTTGTTCTTGCTCAGGCTGGTCTCTAACTCCTGAGCTCAGGAGATCCACCTGCCTTGGACACCCAGAGTGCTAGGATTACATGCATCAGCCACCACACCCAGCCCACTTTAACTATTTTTTAAGAATTAAAGGAACTACTTGAAGGAAAAAAAATTTGGTGATACAGATTATAATTGACATTGTCATTAATTTTCCATTATTTAGTGATTTTTTTAATAGATGAGAAAATATAAACATGGTTTTAATATAAAATGAGAATTCTCATTTGTACATAATAAACAATTGATGCATTTACCTTAATAATGGCATTTTTTGCCTTATATGAAGCAAAATAGGATTGTTCCAAAAGCCATAATGAGGTAAGGATGGCAGCTGTAGAGGTCTTTACATGAATTACTGGACTGTACTCGTGGGATGACTCAATTATACCAGAATCACAGAACAGTCTTCTATTAGACCATCTTATCATCCATTCCAGCAGTCTCCCTATATTGTCAAATGTATTACTCAGTGCTAGAGGAAGATCTTCTTGAGGGTTAATATCATCACACTGAATTGCTTTGAACATATATCTTCTGGTTTTAATGGACTTGGGATTCCAAAAACTATCGTTTGACGATCTCTGAATTAGAGGTTTTTCTCGATTGTCATCTTGTATTCTGTAAATTGACTTTTGTTTTAAACCAAACAATCCACTCTTTTCATTTTTATTGACTTCGTTCAAAGGGGTCTCTGAAACAGGTTTGATTCCTTGATTAACCATTACTGAAGCTAAAATTTCTTGGTTTTCCAAATTTATGGCATATTTATCATTTCCGGAGGATGATTTTTCAGATTCATATGATTCAAGAGCAGCAACAAAGCAAGAACCTGCTCTAAACACTTTCTGGCTTTTGTTTTTGCCCTGGCGTCGTTTTAATGTTGTATGTACGTCAAAAAGTAAAGAATTAAACTCATGTTCTCTAAGCTGCCCAGAAAAGCTGGTTAGTAATGGAATGCCAGGATCCCTGGAACTATGTAGGTCTTTTTCAAGAATATAACTCAAGAAGAGATCAAGAAATTTAATATAATCATCATCATCACGTTCAAATTCCCAAACACCTATTACAGGGAGTGTATTTTGTGATAACTTTTCATGATCTTCTTTTCTTTTAGAATTTCCTTTCTGTTTACATGTTTCCTTTTGTTCCTTTCTATCATCATGCTTACCAGTCAATGTTAATCCCCTGTGATTTGGGGCATTTCTAAAGCAAAAAAAAAAAAGGAAAAGAAAAAAACATAGATTATTTAATCATGAAAACTGATCTTAGAACTGACATTAAAAATTCTCTCTGCTGATTAAGTCATGTACCTTTTTGTGCCTCAATTACCTATCTTTCAAATGGGACTAAATGTTCTCTAAATGACTTTAAGAGTAGAATATTCTGCAAAAAAATAACACTTTAATATCACAATGGAAAATTTATATTAAGAGATTGAAATGTGCTTATAGAAATTTTACTATATAAAAGCACATGAATTTTTTTTGTTGAGGTATAAAAACAATCCTTTAACAGATCAGAATTTAGAAATACAAAGTCAACAAAAATCACAAGCCACCATACACACCTTCATTTAGGGTTTCTTGTTTCTTTTGTCTGCCCCTCATCCACAAGCAGGAGTGCCCCTTTTTTTGTTTTATTACCATACAAAAATTGGAAACTTTTTTTTTTTTT